CACCCTGCCCTTTAGCCACATTGCTCCACTTCCATATTTTTGGTGTTTACTTGGATATGAGTCTCATCAGCTTATCTGGCTTCAAACTTCAATTCTCAGATCTCAGCCCCCTGAATAGCTAGGATTACAGTCAGGAGCCAACAGTGCTTGGCCAGAATCACTTTTTTTGTTGTTATGCCAGTCCTAGGGTTTGAATTGAGGGCCCGAGTACCTTCTCTGAGCTTCTTTTACCCAGGGATAGTACTTTGGTCGTGGGTCTTGAACTCTGGGCCTGGGCACTGTCCCTGAACTACAGGGCCACTTCTGGTTTTCTGGTAATTAATGGAGATAGAGTCTCATGGACATTCCTGCCTGAGCTGGCTTTGAACGGTGATCTTCAAATCTCAGCCTCCTTGAGTAGCTAGTATTACAGGTGTGAGCCATTCACCAGTGCCGGGCCTAGGATCACTTTTATTTTATATCCATTTACTTTTTACAGTGTTAGGGGATCAAACTCAGGCCTCACAAGAGTTCTACCACTGAGCTCCAGATCCAGCTTCAGAATTGGGTTTAGAAGGCTTGTTAAGGGCTGGGAAGGTGGCTCAGTGGTAGAGTGCTTGCCTTGCATGCATGAGGCCCTGGGTTTGATTCTTCAGCACCACATAAGCAGAAAAAGCTGGAAGTGGTGCTGTGGCTCAAGTGGTAGAGGGCTAACTTTGAGTTGAAGAGCTAAGGACAGCGCCCAGGCCTAGAGTTCAGGCCCACAACCGACCAAAAAAAAACAACCCAAAAAAAGAAGGCTTGTTAAAACACAGAAAACAACCCCTACATCAAATTTGTTTTAGCTGAGAGCAGGAAAGAATTTGGGTTTTCAGCAAGTTACTGAATGATGCTTATGTTGCTGGTTGAAGAACACACATTGACAGGTACTAAGATGGAAAGTTGATGAAAGGGGATGATGTTGCAGCTTTAAAGAGGGTGGTTAAGATGGACTGCATTGAGATGTCCTAATGAGAGCAAAGACGGGAAGGAAGTGATGGAGCTCATCGTGTGATTATCTGGAAGAATAATAACCTCTTGACAAAAACTGTAAAGGTTGTTTAAGAGATAGTAAGGAGACTGTGTTAGTGTGAGGAAGACTAGAAGCTTAAAGCCAAGGGTCTTTGGGGTGTGCTTTGTGGGTCTATGATACTTTTTGAAGTTTGTGTAGAGATGATACCTAAGATTAGATGGGATTATCAAAGGAAGACCAAAACAATTCCATGTCTCAAGGAATATAATAGTCATCAACTAAGACACACCAAGAACTATGACACTTGATGTTGAGACATTTTGTAGTAAGGAATGATACAGCTGCTGACAACACACATTATGGATGAAAAAAAGTTAAAGATATATAATTAAGTGGAGAAGAAAAATGGAGATTTCTAGCAAGAAGCATTGGTATTTATGGAAAATATGTGAAAGTTACTGGGGTGAGGCACTGGTGGCTCAGACCTGTATTCCAAGCTACTCAGGAGTCTGAGGCTTGTGATACAAAGCCAGATGGGCAGAAAACCCCATGAGATTCTTATCTATAATTAACCAGCAAAAAGTTGAAGTAGAGCTATGGCTCAAGTGGAAGAGTGTCAGTCTTGAGCAAAACAACTAAAAGAAAGCAAGAACATGAGTCTCTGAGTTCAAGGCCAAGTATTAGCACATTCACACAAAACAAAACCACTTTTTTATTGGTCTGTTTTTTTTTTCATGCTAATAACAGCACTATTGACAGTGTACATTATTATAAAAGGTTTATTTTAATTCCTGGTTTGAGTCCAAGGTCAAGAGTTCCAGGTAGCACAGGGTTTCACATGAAAGACAGGAATATCTGTGTTGTCCATAGTACCAGGTTCCTAGAAGCCTCAAATATTCAATCACAAGAGCTCCACCCTGACAGCTATAGTATTAATTGCCAAAGGCCTCACCTCTAAGCACTGTAGTTGGATTGTATTTCTAACATTTTTTGTTTGTTTTTGTGCCCTCACTAGGGCTTGAACTCTTGCTTAGCTTTTTTGCTCAAGCTATACCACTCGAGTCACACTTCTTCCCCTTTTCTCTTTTTTTTTCCCTCCTCCTCCTTTTTCTTCATCTTCATCTTCCCATTTTGCCAAGACTGCCTTTAAACTTTGTCTTACTGCCTCAGCCTCACATACTAGGCAGGTGTTCCAGTTCTGATCCATATGTATGGATTAAATTTTCATACAGAAATCCTTGTGGGACACATTCAAGCTGTATCCATATTTCATGGCACACAGAAATTTTACTAATAATTTTACTAACAGATGTAGCGACAACGAAAATACTATTACATTTATGAACTGCATCTTAATACTTGGAAAATCTGGGTGCTGGTGGTTGAGGCCTGTAATCCTAGCTGCTCTGGAGGCTGAGATTGCAGGATTACAGATTGAATCTAATGCAGGCAAGGAAGTCCGTGAGACTGTTACCTCCTCCAATTAACCACCAAAAAGCTGGAAGTCAAACTGTGTCTTAAGTGCTAGCCTTGAGCAAAAGAAGCTCAGGACCAGTGCTAGACTCCAGCTCAAGCTCTACTAGCACCAAAAAAAAGCTTACAGAATTATTTCACCTCTTTTTTTTTTCAAAAGGCAAAAGCAGAAATCTACAAGTCCACTTTAAGAAATGTGAGGTACATGGCTGGGAAGTTGGCTCAGTGGTAGAGTGCTTGCCTGGCGTGCATGAGGCCCTGGGTTCGATTCCTCAGCACCACATGAGCAGAAAAAGTCGGAAGTGGTTCTGTGGCTCAAGTGGTAGAGTGCTAGCCTTGAGCTGAAGAGCTGAGGGACAGTGCCCAGGCCCAGAGAGTTCAAGCCCCATTACCAACAACAAAAAAAAGAAATGTGAGGTACTGACAATAAATTGATGACACTTATAATACTTATTTCTTTTTCTTTTTTGTTGGTTGAACATGAGATTTGAAGTCAGGGCCTGAGCTTTTTTGCTTTGCTGTAGGCTAGTGTTCTCCCACTTGGAGCTACAGTTCCATTTCAGGTTTTTTGTTTTTTCAAATTGAAGATAAGAGTCTCATGAACTTTCCTGCCCCAGCTGATTTCAAAATCATACTGCTCAGATCTCAGCCTCCTGAGTAGCTAGGATTACAGGTGTGAACCACTGGCACCCGGCAATCTTTCTTTCATATTGTAAGCTTTCTGGATTGTTAAGCATGAATTATTTGTCATAGATTTCCACATATGACTCATTCCTTAGAATCCTCCCCAGCAGGAGTTTTCAAATACTTGTTTTTTTTGTTCATCGTGGGGCCTGAACTCTGGGCCTGGGCACTGTCCCTCAGCTCTTCAGTTCAAGGCTGGCACTCTACCACTTGAGTCACAGTGCCACTTCTGGCTTTTTCTGCTTATGTGGTGCTGAAGAATCAAACCCAGGGCCTCATGCATGCGAGGCAAGCACTCTACCATTGAGCCACCTTCCAGCCCCTCAAATACTTTAAACATACTGGTTTTTTTGTTGTTGTTGCAAGGGGTCCACCTGTATCTTTATTTAAATGTCTTGTTTTTCCCCTTCCCCTCCACAAATTATACCAACATCACATACAGTGAAAGCAGGGGTTATACTGTGGGGGAGGGATAAACATATTGTTAAAATGGAAAATCTTGCCTGGTGCAGGTGGCTCACCCCTGTAATATTAGCTACTCGGGAGGCTGAGATCTGAGGATCGAGGTTCAAAGCCAGCCCAAGCAGGAAAGTCCAGGAGACTCATCTCCAATAAACCACTAGAAAACCAGAAGTGGTGCTGTGGCTCAAGTGGTAGAGCAGTTACCTTGAGCTGAAGAGCTAAGGGACATTGCCCACACTCAGAGTTCAAGTCCCACGACCGACCAAAAAAAATCTCCTGTATTTTTTTTTTTTTTGGTCCTGTCGTGGGGCCTGACTCGGCCTGAGAGCTGTCCCTCAGCCCTTCAGCTCAAGGCTAGTGCTCTACCACTTGAGCCACAGCGCCACTTCCGGTTTTTTTTTTGCTTATGTGGTGCTGAGGAATTGAACCTATGGCCTCATGCATGCAAGGCAAGTGCTCTATCACTGAGCCACCCTCCCAGCCCAATCTCCTGTATTTTTTAGGCTAGTAGAATTTCCAGCCAATATACAGTCATATTTTTAACCAAAACTTTACAAGTTTTGGATACCAACTTTCTGACATTTTGAAAGTATTAAAATATTTTATGTGGGCTGGTAAGTTGGCTCAGTGGTAGAGTGCTTGCCTCACATGCATGAGGCTCTGGGTTCGATTCCTCAGCACCACATAAGCAGAAAAAGCCGGAAGTGGGGCTGAGGCTCAAGTGGTAGGGCGCTAGCCTTTAGCTGAAGAGCTGAGGGACAGTGCCCAGGCCCAAAGTTCAGGCCCTACGCCCAACAACAAGGAAAAAAAAAATTATATGTGTGTATATGTATCATGTCAGTATGACAGTGTGCCAATTCTGAGGCTTGAACTCAGGGCCTGGGCACTGTTCCTGATCTTATTATTTTTAATAGGAAAATGGACGATGTATTACTAAGCTGGAAAACATGGGATTTCGAGTGGGACAAGGATTGATAGAAAGGTGAGCAGTATGGATTTGAAAATTTTCTTCCAGGTAGGTTGTGAATACAGATGGTCCATTTCAAAAGATTTTGCTTAAAACCTATGGTATTTTTATCTTAATTCTCATTTTAATTCATTCCTGTTCTTCAACTCGCAGATTGAATTTCTTTTTCAGGGAGATGTGGGTATAGCTCAGTTGTAGAGCTTGTGCTTGGCCTTTGCAAGGCCCTGGGCTCAACACCTAAATAACCTAAAACCAAAAGCAAAACAAAACAAAAGAAAAACCAAACCAGAAGTCTGGTGTTACTTTAATTCAATCAAATTTTGCTTTCATTTACTTCTTTTTTGAGTCATGGTCTCCTTGTACAGTCCAGACTGGCTTTGAATTTGGAAATCTCTTGTCTCAGCCCCTGAGTGCTTCAGTTTCAAGTGCATGCCACCATCCTTGGCTTCACACTTTGTTTTAATATTTATAGAAAAAATGTTTTGTACATTTAAGATGATTTTCTCTGAAAATATTAGTGTATTGAAATAATTCAGTTGTCGTTTCTCCCTTTTTTTTTCCTTTTTTTTTTTTTTTTGGGTGCTGGTCCTGGGTGCTATCTCTTGAGTTTTTGTGCTCAAGGCTAGAGCTCTACCACTTGAAGCATGGCTTCAAGTTAGTTAATGTTTATGTTAGTTAATTGAAGGTCTGCCTGGGTTGGTTTCAAACTGTGATCCTTAGATCTCAACCTCCTTCCTGAGCACCACTTTCTCTACTGGCACCTGGCTTATTTCTCTACTTTCCCTCCCCTCCCCTGTTTTCCCTCCCCATTCCTCCTCTCCCCACTTCCTTTCCCTTCTCTTGCCTTTTCTCTGTCCTCTCCCTTTCTTCCCATCCCTTTCCCTCTCTCCTTTCAGAAAGCTTGAACTCAAGGCCTTGAGCTCTAGCTTAGCATTTCCACTCAGGGCTGCTCTGTACCACTTGAACAACAGCTCCACTTCTGTTTTTTTACTCTAACTGGAGATTAGAGACTTAGAATTTGTCTGCTCAGGCTAGCTTTGAACTTCAGTCCTCAGCTCCCAGCTTCCTGAGTAGATAGGATTATAGGCATGAGCCACTGGCTCCTATTTGCATTTTCTACTGAAAGTATGGTAGACTCTTTAACCTGAATGGAATTTTATTTAAATGCATTAGGATTAAAATGCATTAAAGTCTCTCCCCTTGTTCCTTTTCCCCACCATGCGTGGTGGGGGCAGCAGTTCGGTAAATAAACAACTTCTCCTGCCTGAAAAAAAAATGCATTAAAGTCTGTTTATATATTGAATTTTCAAATTTATAGTAGGTATTTTATTAGTATTCTTTTCTAAGTATTTAAAGAGTTGGATTTGAATTACATTTCACATAATACTGTTCTACTGAGCTTTTCTTTTTTTTTTTTGGTCCGGTCATGGGGCCTGAACTCTGGGCCTGGGCACTGTCCCTCAGCACTTCAGCTCAAGGCTAGCGCTCTACCACTTGAGCCACAGCACCATTTCCGGCTTTTTTCTTTTTGCTTATGTGGTGCTGAGGAATCGAACCCAGGGCCTTAGGCATGCAAGGCAAGCGCTCTACCACTGAGCCACCTTCCCAGCCCTCTACTGAGCTTTTCTATCTATGAGATTAAATTGTAGCTACAGTTTTGGTTTAACTGTTGCCAACACACTTGTAGTTGTATAATATATACATGTGAATTGATGAAGGTAGGATCTACTTTACTTGATACTTATAACTTTATGACTGTCAGTAAATTTTAGAGCTGCGAAGGCAGCTGTGAATGAATGAAATCAGTTGATTTTCTCTTGGGGAAAGTGAGAAAGATATCTTTCCTTTTGTTTCTTTGGAAGAAATGCGTTGTGTTACTTGTGTTTGATCTTTTTAGGTTTACAAAAGATACTGCAAGATTCAAGGATGAGTTGGACATCATGAAGTTCGTATGTAAAGATTTTTGGACTACAGTATTCAGGAAGCAAATAGACAATCTGAGGACAAATCACCAGGTATTAATAAGTATTTTTCTTAGTAAAGTGAATAAAGACTAAGCCACTTTTCCTGTTTATCCAAGCTAAATTAAAATTGTATCAAATGTCAAAATGACAATTGTTTTTTGAATTTAGTTAGTTACTATTACTAAGTGGTGATAATATACAGAACTACACATCTACCACATTTATACCTTCAGAGTAATTTCTACATTTATAGACCATGTTTAAATAACTTAAATAATTCTTGCATTGCTAATAACAAAATAAATTTTAGAGCATGTTTAGATAAATATCCCTTGCATT